GCCGAGGGGGTGACGCGGGGGGGGCAATGTCGGGGGGGGGTCCCCAGCGGAGGCCCACCCTCACCCTCAAGGCGGCCAGGGAGGCGGCGCAAGCGAAGGCCAAGGCCGCCGCGGAGGCGAAAGCGGCACGCGGCGGAAAATAGTAATACAACACCCCTTTTGCAACAATGCCCTCGGTTTGTTGCTGTTGTACAGTCGTGGCACAGAAAAATGCGGGCACCTTATGAGAGGGGGCTCCGATATATGAGGGTCGAAATCGGTTGGTACGGACTCAGCCCACCATAGCATAGTTGGGTAGCCTCTCATTCCTGATGAAGAGGGGGATCGATACATGAGGGTCGAGGGCCTTTGTCATACCACCCTCTCATATCGGAGCCACGAGTGTATTGATAGTACACCGCTCCAGTCTCTGCTTTCGGTATCGTCCCGGTCGGTGTTAAGACGTGGAATCATCGTTGAATGCAATTATGCGGGTGGTCTTGTTGCCGATGTCCTTGTTGTTGTCGTTGTTGTTGTACATTCGAAACCGGTCTCTTTTGTCAGTACCTTCTAGCATCCACTCCGGTTGTTGTTATTACTGTCGATGTGTTCACATTAGGAACTGTTCGTTTTTTTTCGCTCAGCACCGTGAAGCATCCGTACCGGTCCACCTGACCTAGAATGCTCGGGAAGGTGTTGGTGTGGCGTAGGGTGCTCGTTGGTGAGCGGGTATGGCGAGTACAATGCCCGCTAACATATGGTAAGCATTTGCTCTTGAGGTAGTATTCATACCATTGTGTTTGGACGTTACTTTTTTTCCTATTTTTTTGGGTTTGTCTATTTACGCCACCGGTGGCGCAATTTTTTATATGCGCCACCGCTCTTATCTCCGCCCACAGAGCTTTAATTGGCACAAACTAAAAATTGTAGTGTAGCTATGACCCATAGCAATCATACAAGCCAACTTGAAGCAAAATCCATTCGGTCGTTGGAAAGTTATGCTCGAAAAAGGGGGCTCAGCGGCATCAAAAGGCGGGCACCAACCACATATTCCACCGTAACTCCGTGGCCAAAGCTCCAATCGACGTCAAACAAATTGCGCTGGTCGACGGACGTCCATAGCCATCGTTCAAGCCATCTGGGACGTCCATCCGACCAGTAGATGCCGAGATATGCCCTCCCACGGGGGTACAGTGCCACCGTAGGGCGGTGGCGCATATAAGCTTATATGCGCCACCGCCCTACGGTGGCACTGTACCCCCGTGGGAGGGCATATCTCGGCATCTACTGGTCGGATGGACGTCCCAGATGGCTTGAACGATGGCTATGGACGTCCGTCGACCAGCGCAATTTGTTTGACGTCGATTGGAGCTTTGGCCACGGAGTTACGGTGGAATATGTGGTTGGTGCCCGCCTTTTGATGCCGCTGAGCCCCCTTTTTCGAGCATAACTTTCCAACGACCGAATGGATTTTGCTTCAAGTTGGCTTGTATGATTGCTATGGGTCATAGCTACACTACAATTTTTAGTTTGTGCCAATTAAAGCTCTGTGGGCGGAGATAAGAGCGGTGGCGCATATAAGAAATTGCGCCACCGGTGGCGTAATTAGACAAACCCTATTTTTTTCGATATCCGATACACGAGAGGACTGTATAAACAGAGCATCTACATCGGGGTGTTGTCTGGTGAGAGAAATTGTCCGCAGGCGACATATGACATCACCCCCCCTGGACCGGTTTTCAAAGCCCGATTACTCCACAGCAGAGGAGAGTGGTGGCGCCGAAAATGGCGGTGTTGGAACAATCTATCTCTCCGAACACTTTTCGAACACGCATCGTTTGATCTTAACGTCCTCTTTGTGGTGGGTTATCCGGCTTTGAAAACCGGTCCAAGGGAAAAACCGGTCCAGGGTGAACGATATCTTACGTACGCAACCTACGGTAGGCGTACCGGGAGGGTCGCGTTAAGGGTAGGAAACGCCGCAGGATATTCCCTCGGACTGGTCCTTCCGTGCGACCGAGGAGACAGGTGCAAACAGTCTCGTGTGGTTCATGGATGAAAACTCATTGCTTGTGGTGATGATATTTTCGAGAATTCTCTCGTGGTACGGTTGTGAAGGCATTCGAGGCCAGGGCTACGCCCCGGCCTACCTTTGTACGGACCGAGTTCGCCACGACTCAAATGAGATGCGCGAATCAAACAAGACGTACCGTAAGAGGCCGAGAGATGGCACCATTTTCAGAGCTCAGAAAGACTTCACAACCAAGAGTGTGCCGACACCAAAAAAAAGTGGAGGTACTCTCGTACAGGGCATTACGCAGACTTATCGGGCTGCTTCCGCACCCCGCCTGTTGTGGGCAATCGAGCTTTGAAATCCGGTGTTGGAGGAGTGCCGTCTCTCCGGCTCTTGCGGTATTTGGAGAACCCTCGAAGAGACGGTTCCCACACAGTCATGTGTCGGCACCGCCACGCATTTTCCCTGTTGAATCAAGCAATCAAGCTCTGAACGTCGCTCAAGGGAGTGCGATGTTTTATGTCATCACTCCCGGCATACACTGCAGAACATCCCCTCGGCTGGTCCGTCCATGCGTTTGCAGACAAGAATGGTGTGTGACCACCCCGTCGCTCCCAATGGTGCACCCTTTTCAAGAGGTGGTTGTCTCAAATGGGGCGTCGGGGCTCGGCGTAGGTGAGGGATTGTCGCGGTGGCATCAATTCGACGATTCCAGATAACATCGCCTACCTGCCCCATATGAAGTCTACCATGTATTTCTTGTCTTCACTTCAAATCAGCGCTCACAGCACTAGTGCCGTTTACTCCAACCCGTGGTCACACAGAAGAGCCCTTCTCCACCCTCCCCTCTTGCGGTACGTTGCCTTCGATTTTGAATTAGAGAAGAGTTCGGCACCCTCTTCCCTCTGTGTACGCAAGAACTAGCGCTTTCCACTAGGCCAGGAGCGGAAGCGAGAGAAAAACTCGCTTTGGAAGAAGAGCTCGCTTACGCCGGGATTCGAACCCCCTGATCTGACCTCTAGAGGGTTTCGAGGATAGATACCAGCTTGACCACCGGGGCGACCGGCTAAGATACCATACACACGTATATTCGTTACCGTCATCGGCCGTTTCAGCGTAATTTGTAATTTCCAGCTCGCGAAAATAACAAATGCCGATCCCAAAAACATACATCTACGTTGTTTTTATTTTTCCGTCACCACGCGAAGCACGGAACGATTTCGTTGAGTCGCTTCATTGTAAGAACGTTACCCTCCGTTGGTCGGATACACGGTTTTTCCTAAATATCGCGTTCAGTTCTTCGCTTCGAAGACCGCACCGCATTAATATTTAGGTTGTCGCTTTCCGCTACTGGGTAAGCCCGAACCACTCCGTAAGACAACTGTTTATGGTCTCGACGGTGCCTGCGGCATTATTCCGCCGCACACGATCACGGTACACTGTATTCTTCCTCTTTCCCTGTCAATTCCCACCATTCTCTCTACATTTCCGACAAACGGAACGTCCCGGGATTCCATTAAGGAAATCAGTGCCCCGTCTCAGGAACAGCAGGCCATCGCTCGATCCGCAAAAGTCTGTGCGGCGTTCGGGTTCCACTCGTAATCAAGCGTCGCATTCCGAAGGGGGAGTGCTCGATATCGTCCCCTCTCCCCTGGCGGAAGATTCAACGGCTTCTTCCTATCGACTGTACTGATTTCCCTGTCCGAAATCGCACCCTCCGTATCATCAGCGGAAGGGGCACTCGCCGTCTTGATCCTCTTATCCTTGTAAACGGTCCAATCCCGCCCCCCAGGTTTCTAATTGTAATCAAGCGTTGTCCTCCGTAGCGGAGACGCTCGTTCCTCGCTGGCTGGGTTTCCAACTGAAATCAGGCATCGTCCTCCGTAGCGGGGACGCACGACGTCGTCCCCGGCGTAGACCGTTTTCTATGCCACAAGCCTGGGATGGAACCCACCTGCTCCTCGAGGTGCTTCAGCATCACCTGCCGGGGAAACAAAGTTTCGTGTGAAGAAACTAGACAACTTCGACTATATATTGTGCACAGAAGACTTGAATGAGTCCACGACACAGCAGTAGAAATGACATTTTTTGTGTTGTAGAGACAAGGCGGTGTGCAAGTCGCCGAGGCAGGGGAGGGTCCACTGATTTACGTCGTTCAACATGGTTGCAGTCCCCCCCACGCTATCTTGTCTCTCTCTCGTGGGGTGGCTCGCTCCATCGTTCGCTTTCAGATTCGCACAAGAAAAAGGTAACAGAAACAACACATGATTGTGACTTGGGGAACAGCAACAACAACAACAGCAACAGCAGCACAGCTTCTCACCCTAGGCCCCGAATCGCCGGCGCAGGTGAACTCGTCCACCAGCTGGCCCGCACAATAGAGGAGCACCGTCGGCGTTGAGTGGACGTTCAGCATCTTGTGAAACTTTCAAGACACAAGACCGAGGCATGTTGCTGCTGCAACTATCCTCCAAGCGTGGAGAGACTTTGAGAGGACGCGGAAGACAAGCGTTTTCCACACCTGTGAGGGCGAGACCGAGTCGTGTTGTTGTCGAACCTGTTGTTCCAAGTTGAAGAGACTCTTCGGGTTGACGCGAATGACGAACGGCGGATTGTCGGGGCACCCACTCCAAGTAATGTCTTCCCCAGGTGTGTGACCCGAATTGGTCGTTCAAACGTGTACCGGGAAGCCGATTACAGAGCGGAGCCCAAAATTGATGGGGTGAAACAAACACAATGTCGAGCTCGAAGGACGTTGGGGCTTGGGTTGAATAAACGTTCGGAAGGTCCATATTCTCGGGAGGACGTGAAGTTAGGAGCCCTCCCCCCGCTCAAATCGGTTGCTCTTGGAAGACGACGACGACCAAAGTACCTCCGGAAATGTTTTTAGACATGAATCTACTTTGTAGGTTTCCTCACATCAAGGTTCGACTGGGATATGCGTAGAAAATAACCGTCGCTGCATACATCAGCAACTTGTGGCTAGCTAGGTGCCATCGTGCTACCACAGGCTGGCCGGACTACATCGCGCGACGACACCGTTTAATCCCACTGTCGTGGAAAATACCTCCGGGTTGGCTTTGAGGTCGATCTCGTCAAAACATGGCTCCCCGGCAAGGGCATGCACCTTTGCGAACACCCTAAGACGATGTCGAAGCTGAGAAGTCGTCCGTCCACACCAACAGAGAGATAAGAGACGAACAGACCGAGACAATCAGATGGGGAGAGAACGAGAGGGATGGGAGGGAGAGAGAGATGGGGGGGAGAGAGATGAGATGAGAGAAAGGGGGCTGCCACTGCTGCCTTGCTTCCGTAAATTTGTGCCAATTGCGACCTCGCCCCCATCGAAACCCCAATAGTAGAGAAGAACGCCCCCTGAACATTCTAGGCAAGTAGACTGACACGAAGTCCACAGTATACCACCACCTACGGCTACGCTTCCACATCGCGTGGACTCACTGCGTCCAATGCTGTGGGTGTTTTGGCGAGGAAGGGGCTGCTGTTTGTGACGGTACCGACCGCGCCGAATTGATTTTCCATGCTCTAAAACAATCCGACAGCAACCAACGCCACCACCAACAGCAACAGCAACAACAATGTATCCACCGACAGATTGCTTAGATCCTCTTCGATGTTGCCGAAACAGGTGGTTCGAGTGAAGCGTCGTTTCAAGCCGTTACAACCGCTGCTGCAGTTGCTGCCGCGGCAGCGGCTGGTCGGGCACGGATCGGGAGCTGGGGTCATCATTGCCAACAGTGACGAAAACGAGTCGCGATTCACCGCATGAAGAGAGATAAACCGAAATGAGCGAGGGATGTTTATGTTTTGCGACGTATGCCTGGCTCCGCTGTTAAACCTGCATAAACTGTTCTGAAACTCCCTTCTCCGCGCGAGTTTCACCAGTGCAGACATAGTGGGAAGCTCGTTGAGGAAGCGGGGTGAACAACAGCACTCTGGGCGATAAAACCCCAAAACACGCCACGCAAGGCTGCAAGACAGTCGTGCCAACTTAGATATACATGTTTTCAGACAACAGTGTCGTTTACCGATTGCGTAGGTAACGTAATCGTGCGGGTGATCGCACCCCACCCTACTGTACAACGACCTTCATAGCTCGGTTTCTTCGCAGCCGAGAGGATGCGAAAGCCGGCCGATAGGTCGAAAGGACGCTGTCCCCGAAACGTGCCCACAATCACCCATCACTTTCGGCAGTGGCGCCCTCTCTCGGTTGTGGCTCAATCCCACGACGACTCACAGCTTTTGGTGTGCTCTGATACTATTTAGCTTACAGCAGTACAAATCACAGGCCAAACAATCGCCACACACCTGTCTCTCTTCGCCCTTGCAGGATAATCGTCCGTCGATGTACGTGGGCCTCCATCGTTCCCTTGTACAGGCATTCGGTACTCCTGCAGTCGCTGTGATCGTGCTCATGTATGCACGGCATCGGCGCCTACATAGCAAGCAGCAGGTGGAAGGGGCCCCGTGGGGAGCATGCGGGGGAATTTCCAACTACCTCTAGCCGCCAGCGATCAGACCCAAAGTTGGTGAAGGCCGTCGCCTGCACGGACAAGGTGGCACGTTGAACAGAACATGCACATGCATATGAGGGCTGAATTACAACGGACAAGTAGCGAGGTTGAGAGGAAAGATGTGGTAAACCACCATTTTCCCGCTAAGTTTCACACAGCACCCACGCACATCCCGCGCGCACGACGAAGGCGGTTGCCCGACAATAGCGCTGCTGCAAGTCAATCTAACGGAAGAGACCTTTGTGGGCAGCCCCGGTAGTGCTACGCCGACCGCGCCGTGTATCTATCATCAACGGCTACGGGCTGTCCACCAAGGACTTGCAGTAGCCTGAGACACAGGAGGCACGGAAGAAACCGATGGCCGATAGTCGAAGGCAGTTACAGCACAGCAGTCACCTACACTTTAGAGCGACTGCTGCAGGTCGAGGGTTGAAGCGCAATCGCTCTCTCGACCCGGCGAGCTGCATGTGCCCGCTCTCTCCACTCTTCGCCCGCTTCAACGCCAAACGAACTACAACGGAGTTCTCCTCCTTCTACAAATCCGGCATGCCCAAAGCCGTGGGATCTGTCTTTCTACCCTCCCTGTGCCTGGCTCAGCTTACTTTGTCCTCTGTGACGCTGCAGAGAGGTTGTTGACGAGATCAGAATGGAGACCCCGAGAGAGACCGAACGAGCACGACGTGATGATGGGGCTGGAGCCAGTCGGCGTACGTTACACCCAGCAGGTGTGGGGCGGGTTGCTACCCTTCTCAGCGTGTTTTGGCGCGCTGCACAGGAATACTGCTGCAGTTCGCCGTCTCACCATTGTCAGCAAAAATTGGTGTAAATATATTAAACCATTCGTCGCCCCCTGGTGTACATGCGGAGTACATGGGTGGAAACCCTTGCGGACAAATAGCCGCACTTTTTTTGGCCTCTTCGTTTCTGCTTCTTTTTTTTGCGTGATGGCGCACAACCCGCGAAGCCCACAGGCCACTCACAACTTCACCCTCCTGCTCCGCGCCCGACTGCGATCCGTTCCTACCCCATCCCTGCCACCACAACGCAACGGGCAGCCGAACAGGTGAGTCGGATGTCTGATGCGGTCACTCCGAGATTGTGAAATCACACGATTTCTTCTTGTGCTGCCCTCTGGGTCTGCCGCAGCTGCTTGTATTCTGCTCCGGTTGAAGCAAGCGGATCCATCTCGGCTGAACTTGGTAGGCAAGCAATTTTGGGGCCGTGGCTTCGAAGCGCGTGCAGTCAGTCGCGCGAACTGGGATTTTGTGAAACGAGAGTTGCTCAAAGATGCCCAACTTCGATCCACAGCAGTTTGGCATGCGTGTGTTCTGTGCGCATTCGGAAGAGCATGTGTGGTGACCGCCACGCAGCGTAGCTCCCCGCGGTGGTTGTTGTTGTTGTTTTTCTCCCATCATTGGACTCTGTCGTCTGCCCCTCTGGCCCCTATCTTCCACTTCTACTAGCTAGACGACCCAACCGGGGTCACATAGGAGGGGGGGGTTGGACCCCCTCCTGCGGTTCATGCCTGAGGTATTTTTATCGCGAGAAGGGTACAGCAATCCCTTCCCTCGCGACTTACGAAGTNCAGCAATAGCTGGGTCTCCTCGGAACATTTTATAAATACTGTAGTGGCCAGGTCAGGGGGTTCTAGTCCCGGCGTTAGCCAATTTGCACACATAGCAGTGGTGAGTACTCTCGCCTCCGTTCCTATGCACACCATGTAGTGGTAGGTTGTTTAGGAAGCCCTGCAATATATATGCTGTACAAAGAAGTAGTTAATACAAGGGCTTCGCGGCGGCCCGCTGAGGCG